TCTAGTACACTCTTCCTTCTCTCCTCAAAGTGCTGCAACTGCCCTGAGATAGGCCCTTACCAGCTCAACCTGGACTAGTATGCTAGACTGCTGGTTGTTCTCCCAGCCTCAGTACTCTCTTCACTCCAGTCCATACTAAATTGAGCTATCAAAAGCATCTTCTTAAAGCACACCATTTCTCCCAAATTCCAGTGACTCGGCAAAAATAAGGAAGTCTCCCAGGACCTCTCCTTTGCTGACATGCAGCTCGCACAGTTGGTTTGGCTCTCCTCTCACTGGGAGATGAGTCCTGACATGAGCTCCAGCAGACCGGGTGATTGGCTATCACAGGGGGATCACGCTTTGAACATGCATCACTAGGGCCATAAAAGTCAGCTAACTGCACTCAATAAATGGAGCTTCTGCCACCTTGCTGTCTCCCGCCTCATCCGTGCGTCTCTGGGTTACAGAGCATTGAGCTGGTCTCATGCTCATCACTTCAGCGGCCGCTTCAGGTATATTCAATCTCTGCTGAAGATCAGGAATGACAAAGGCTTGGGGTGTCTTCCTAATTAGAAATGGCACTGAGATAAGCTGGGAAAATATCAGACACATAGAAAAGCCTAATGAACATTTCCTTGGAATTGAGAGTAGATTGGATTCTCAGTGTCACTAACCTCCCTCAGGGTTTTAGAACCAATTCTGAGGGAAACTTCTCTGCAGCTCAAGGAGGGGACTCATCACACTGGGAGGCAGATGCTCTTCTTCACACTAAACAGGGAAAGACATGCAAATTGGGCTCCTCCCTCTAGGGAAGAAAACCAGCAAAAACCTGTTTCTACAGCTCTGGGAGAAGAGCTTTTCTTCTGTGTGGCCTTTCTCTCCTAAGGACTGACACTGTAGAGCCTGAACAATGAGTTTTAGACTGAATGGAATTTTCATTCTGACTATTTTACAAAACAGTTTTTTTTTCTGTTTGATTTTTGACCAACGATACTCTCTTTGAAGTCGTGTATATATGTAACTATTGTCTTAAATGACTCTTTGCTTGCAGGTGTCCATTGTGATGTTCAGCTGGTAGGGTCTGGAGGTGATGTGAGACAGCCTGGAGGATCTCTTTGCCTTTCCTACAAAGCTTCTGGATTCACTTTTAGCAGCTATGGCATGCAATGGGTCCACCAGGCTCCAGGGAAGGGGCTGAAATGGGTGGCAGTTATTTGGTCTGATGGAAGTAAAACATACTATGCAGACTCTGTGAAAGGCCGATTCACCATCTCCAGGGACAACAGCAACAGCATGCTGCACCTGCAAATGAATTCTCTTAAAGCTGAGGACACTGCCATGTATTACTGTGCAAGTGACACAGTGAGAAAAAGGAGTATTAGACCAGACATAAACCTCCTCATTCAGATAGGCCTTATGGCGAATGACAACAACACTGAGCACAAGGAGACCAGTTACAATAACAGATGAAGAATTAGGCTGACAAAGTTTTCAAGTTCTATGGTTTCTTCCTAATTCACAGTGAACATCTAACTCTTCCTATCTATCTATCTACCTATCTATCTATCTATCTATCTGTCTATCTATCTATCTATCTGTCTATCTATCTAATCTCCTTTGTGTCCCTGAGAATCTTTCCTGTTTATGTTGCCTGTAGGCATAGAGGGAAGAAGTATCCTTTTAACGGTTTACATGTTTTCTGTGATTTATAATAGGAATGCAGGGATATTTTAACATAATGCTAAACTATAAATTGTTAATATAATACATTGTATCAATAATAAAAATTTATAAAATCATATTATCATATCAGTAGATGCAGGAAAAAGCTTCTGCTAATATGCAGCACACATTTCTATTAAAAACACTTGAAAGTATTGGTATTAAATGATTTTTACTTAAATTGATATAAAGCATTTATCTGAAACAATGAGGAAGCTTTATTTGTAATGGGGATACATTAGAAGCATTTCCAGTAAAAGTATGTCCACTATCACCAATATTATTCAATATTGTATTGAAAATCCTACCTATAGGAATTAGAGAAGAAAAAAATGATCTGATTCTGTTATCTTTGAAATGGAAATCTTTGCATTTCCCTTTTGGATTAATTTTATCATCTTTTTGCCATCTAAGTAATTTTACACATGTAAGCATTTTGGTAAAGAAAATCTTGGTTATGGCCTTACTGTGGTCAAGTAAGGCAAACTCAGGAAATAAGACTAAAGGAGTTTATTAGTACACCAAGCTGGATCTGAATTAAAATGCATATAATGGTAAAATAATCCTGATTGATACATGTGATCAATGAAGAACTGGGATTTTTGTCCCCTGAGCTCTTCCCCTATTATAGCATCATAGAGAGAGTTAGTGCTAAGGAGATGTGATTAGTGCTAAAGAGATAGAATTAGTGCACTTGACCACCTGCAGGCTAACTTCCCATGTAGCCAAAGGTCAGGCAAGGTTAAAAAGTGGGGTCACTCAGATTGGCTCTGCACCAGGGACTGATTTTTCACAATCTCTCTTTTGATGCATTCAAATTCTATTGCACAGAATGCAACTCTGATGAACTGGCCATGTTATTTGAATGTCAAACATACATTTGCCTAAAAGATTCTTTTATGGAGAACACTTGCAACAAAGACACTCACCAGGCGGTCAGAAGAAGCAACACAAGGACACTCTCAAGGTCTCTCTGAAGAACTTTGGAATGATTGTGCGACATGAGAGAAGATGGCAGAAGACTGCCCAACACGGGGTGCCTGCATTGAAGAAGGCATTGTTCTATGTGAATGAAGCAGAATTGTAGTAGCTCAAAAACAAAAACAAAACAAAAGCATGAGCTTGTTCAAATTTAGAGATATCTCTACCCTTAAATGTTCCTGTGGACTATCCGTGCCCAATCTGTGGTAGAACATTCCAAACTCATAATGGTTTGATAAGCAACAGTTGCACAAACTGTACTTTGACTCCAACATAGTGATGTCATTTTGGTCCTCCTTGAGAACAAAGGACAACCTATATCATTCCATTATCCTCAACTGCATCATTTTAAGATCTACTGTTTATAACTTTGGAGTGTCAACTGGAAGGAACCAGCCTCTAACTTATGGGTGGCTGGAGCTGAACAGAGCAGGCTAGAGACAGGAGAGTCAGGAAATCAAAACGAAGTTTAATTTCAAAGTGAGGGAAATGGCTTGCAAGCAAGGACACATATGCCAGAATCCTTCCCCTAATGGAGGGACCCACGGTCTCAACATTCATGCCAATTATTACACAGTGAGCTGTAGCCCTAACAATGAGGCATATGATTCATAGCGGGACTTCATAACTGGAACACGGGTGCTTGTCTGAACTTCTCTGATGATTGTCCAAGCACAGAGAACATCTGGTGCTGTTCAAAGCAATACAATCAGCATATGAAACAATTCCATTATTTTCCTGTGGCTGAAATCATCCAGAAGGTAAGCACAAAGGATTTTTGTTATACCGAGCTCAGGGCACAGCTTGCTTGCTGGGCTCTGGAAAACTCTGGAAAGCTCTGGAAAACAGGTTGACTCCTAATATCTTGACAGGAGTCAGCTTGGGAATCAGTTCTTTGCACCAAGGGAGGCATTGTAAACACAGACAACATGCAATCCATATGAAAAAGAAAAACCAACCCACAAAACAAATGCACAAATAGATACTTTAGCCATGAGGGTTTGGGGACTCAAGGTTAACCCTTCCCATGGTGACCAGAGTTCCTTCCCATCCTCTTGGAACTTGTTCCAGGCAATCTGAACTGAGTCCATATAGGTACAAATGTCATTGAAATTGTCAGGAACCTAGGTGCAGCCATTTCTGACTTGTACTGACATATAGCCTGACAATAGGGCACAAATTCAAAGGAAAAGAGGGGGGCAAGAATTTTGAAGTGTTAATGATATTTTCACAAATAAAAATGAAAAAGTTGGAGAAATTATTTTTCTAGACTATGTCGATACAATTTGATATATTGTTGAAATTTGCCTTATTGATTCCAAAATAAAAATCACATAAGTCCTGGGTGTCTGACCTTATGCTCACCAGGGGCATCCCTTCCCCCAAAGACAAAGGGGAGTGTCCACATATGCACCAGTTGATTCAGTTAAAAGGATGACTGGTATGTTGGATCAGACTATATAAGTGTTGGGCTCTCCTGTTCTCCCAACCTGAGGGGCGCAAAGCAGGGAAGGAAATGCAAACAACAAATACATGGTAGATAACTGGGTGAGTATTAGGTTCAAATTATTAGGATCAAACAAAAAAAATGACCAAAGACCATTGATTGTTTTGGTGTCCTTTTTCATATAAATTGGATCCAGGGACTGATCAGGGGTTGTTTTCTCTACTGTGCTGAGGACAGTCATAGCAGGCTTTCCATGGGAGTGATGTAAACGAGTTGGTCTGCTTGGTAACCGGCACGTATGACTGGTCAGCAACATATGGAAAAACTCATACCTAATGGCTCAACTGGTCTGCACACACCAAAATATATCTATATCTGACTTTGGCAGTTCAATAAAGTCAATCTGCAAGTCTCCAATTGGTAGGACTGCCCACTTCCTCCTTTCTTTTGTCAAAGTTTTCTTCTTAGAATGAATCTTAGTTGATGAAATCCTAAGTATTTTGTAACTGCTATGGTTATTTTGAATGATAGCCCTCTTTCCAGCTCTTTCTATTGGAGTTTTTTAATTATCTATAGGAATGATGACTTATATGGATTTATCTTATATCATACAGCTTTGCTGTTTATTAATTACTTCAATTCCTTTGTGCAGCTCTGACTCACTTAAATCCACTTCACGTGCATGTCATGAAGTCACCCCATGATGTACTCTTTCAAAACAAAGGACAGACAAAACCAACAACAGCTACTATTTGCTCATGTATTTAGATCAACACTACTCATATTAAGAAAATAACTATGTATTTCCTATGATTTCTAAGATTTTTAAAAGGAGAATTAAGTGTTGAATATTGTCAAAGCCTTTTTAAAAATTAGTATGTATTGATAAAATTGAATTTATATTATTTGTATTATTAACATGATTTTTATATTTATTATCTTCATATGTTGAATTAACCTTATATTCCTGTTATAAACCTATTATATATATTACATATATAGTATATGATGTTTCTAATATGTTGTTGTAGACTACTTGATAATATTTATTTGAAAATTTAGTATTAATCTTCATTAGGCTTATTTACTGATTGTTCTCTCTTTGGTTACAGTTTAAAGACAAGTTGGAAAAATACCTTCTTTCTAATTATTACAAATAGTTTACATTGTATTGGAATTAATTGTTTTTGGAATGTTTTCAAGAATTCACTTGTGACTCTATCTTGTTTTTGCACTTTTTCTTTGGGAGATCATTTATGTTCTTTTCATATTTATCTGATATTAAGTTATTAAGCCTATTTTAGTCTATTTTTCTTTTGTTAATTATTTCATGTTTTTGTAATTATTCATTTATTTCCTCTAACTTGTCAATTTTGTTGCCATAAAACTAGACAAAATAGCTTCTGATAATGTCATTTATTTACTCTTCAATTGTTGAAAATTCTGTTTAATTTTTGATACACAGTTTTCTCCTATCATTTCTGAAAAATAGATTAGCTAATTATCTATTTAATAAGATTGTTTTTTTTCCAGTTAGCAGAAATCTGACTTTTCTCTTACCTACCCAAAAACAGACCTCAGCAGTTCCCAAACTGCACTCCCTCTAGGCTACTGGCATCCCCCTTGAATGCTAGACTCATGACAATGCAGACAGTCATACTTGGAATCAAAATTTAGAATATCAGATTACAATCCTATGAGATTTTACCTCAAATCACTAATCTTGTTTAGGGTTCGATATAGTTATTGACAAATTACTTTCCCATTGTTGCAATAGATTACTTTATCAATGAAAGAGTACTAGACCTTCCAAAAATCATACAACATCTTTTTCTTCTGTTCATTTTATTTCTCCTCCTGTCTAAACTCATCCTGGTATTAAAACAATCAATAAAGCAATTTTGATCTGTAATTTCATATGGACAATGAATAGGTACTAGTTAACTCAAAAAGAATCCTTCAGAAAAAACCAACAGTAATGTCCAGACTAACATAGTCATCTCTTTAGGTGTTATATATTAATACTAAAATCATATTGTATATTAACACTTAAAATAAAATTTTAAGATTAAAGTATTTTAAGACTAAGTTGGCTCAAGATGTAGCTTCATTATACACTATGCCAGGCATAATTTCACAACTTTCATAAGTGATAGGCAAATTATTTTAAAGGAAAATCACTCTTTATTATAAGAACACTTGAAAATTTCATCCCCATTTTTATAGTAAACAAATTCATTGCTTAAGAATTTTACAATAGCACAGGTTCTTGACAGGGCCAATAAGATTGTGTGACCTGTCCAAGGAGGTGATCTAAAAA